CTAGGTACGCGTGTTCCTCACATACAGGCGCATGAAACTTTTGGCGGGAAAATTGCTCACTGAACATTTTTGTGCGACGGAAATTGTTTATTTTCCTTTATGCAAAACTTATGATAATTTACGCTAATGGCGCACAAGATAAATTAGCAACCACACAGTTAACGACCTGATTACTTCAAGTTTAATGCAAGAACGCATGATCGCACCGGCAATTCTGATGCGTTCCAATCTAGGGTTTTTAAAAGTGGATCTGAAAAACTGCTTCGCGTTGGAAAGTAAAATTAGATGTTACGTGGTGTGAGGGGGAAGGAAGACGAAAACCGCGATGTACCGTGCAACAGTGGGAATTGTGGTAGAGAAAACCGTTCATATGCCGCTAGTCCGTCCGCCTGTTGCTTCAGGACGTATGTGCTCTTTCGCTTACACTCACCGGATTTGCTGAGGATGCGCTGGGCTCATCGGAATAAACCAATTATTTATTATAACAAGTGGAACAAAATTATCACAGAACGTACTGGCGGCAACACCCAGCGAAACGGAGTTAGCGAATCGAACAAGCATTGCAGTGTAACGAAACTCGAAAGACTGATCATGAGAGCAACAGACAATGCATACAAATATACTGCTTCAGCGCAGTTTGCCATCATCCACTTAATTTCTCAGCACATACGTGTATATATATACGGCCAGACAAGCACGTACTTGAAATTGTAACAGTCCCAACTGAAGTGATCCAAGATTGCATTAAGTACAACATCCAAGATTGCATAAAGTACAACGCCTTTCTGCTCGCGCTTTCGCTTTTTTACGAAACGTATTTTTGGCTTTCGTGATAGCCCGTGATGCATGGTCCATTAGTTTTCGCTTGAGTGAACAGTGGCGAAATCTTCACTTTGTAGGTGTTTGTACGTGTGTTGCGCAGTACTTGCGTGCCGTAATAGTTGCAGTTACAGCTGCTGACCCTTGTCCGGTTCCTGGGAGGACCAGTGGAGCAGGAATTGCCTGCGAATGCCTGAGAAATGCGCACAACAGTAAAGGCGGCCCTCCTTTAGCAACGCCAGATGGGCTTAAATCAGATGGCACGGAGCTGCTAGAATTTACGAAACTAAAGTAGTACAAAAGCGCCGGTTTCATTTGACTACTTCGTGTCATCAAGCAATTTCACCGATTCATTGAGCCAATTCATGATCGCGTTGATTGCTGCCACCATTGCCGGCGACCCGAATCCATGCGAAACCTTCAAGGGAAACAATACGGAGTATATCCGGTAAAGAACGGAGTCGTTTTCCCGGTGCAAATGATTGAAGCGCGTGAGAAAATCCAGCAGCCAGTGAGAATAAATAGCAGCGCGCACCAGGGCAGCCGGTGTGATCACGTATTTCGTGCAATTTCATCCACCGAACGATTGCCTGCTAATGATTTTCACTGCTGTGAATTTAAATTTGAGGGGTTGCACGCGGGCAGAGGACATGTCCATAAAATTTCAGCTCCCTAGCTTCCGCGGTTCCTGAGATAATAATTTACCCGCCAAAATTTCCACGCGGCCGTTCGTGTTACCCGCGGGCAGGATAAGGCTGAATTTAAATTTTCTGGGTCGCATGTGGGCAGGGGATATTCCCACAGAATTTCAGCGTTCTAGCTTCCGTGGTTCTCGGGATAATAATTTTCTCCGCCAAAACTTCTACAGGCCGTACGTTTTACCCACGGGTGCGGGGATGTTGAATTTAAATTTGCGGGGTCACACGTGGGTGAGGAACGTTCCCCTAAATTTTCAGCTTCCCAGCTTTTGTAGTTCCCGAATTGTAAGTTGCAGACAAGTTGCTGCAGACACACACACAGAGACAACCTCGTGACAATATGCGTTTTGTACTGTTGTCACACAGCAAAAAACGCATAATAAACGAACCATGGAGAAATGCGTAAGCCGACTTTGAATTGTTGGCTCGAGGATTGGCTGTGGTCGGGATGAGCATATCGGACTGCGGTCGTTACTCAGCAGTTCCTTTAATTCGGCCAGTGTTGTCTTCGTCGCCAGGATCATGTTTTTACGGCGCTGCATGTCGGCTGGTTCCATCGAGCAGTTGGCACGCGTCAGATGTTCTGCAATCGCTCGCGCCGGAAACTCGCTTTCACATACTGCATTGAAATCTTTCGCCAAATGCATCGCTTCAACTTAAAACATAAATTTCTATGCGTTTTTGACAAATCAAAGAATCATTGTGGCGAGATCAAGTCTACAAGTACGGATGTGTGTAGACGTAACACACACGCGCACAAGCATGTTAAATCAATGCAGCAAGTGAAAGAAACGTAAGACAAGCGATCCCATGAGCGACAAGCTTTTCGCAGCTTATCTTTTTATGCTTTTTTGCCGTGCAGCGCTAGAGCGCTGCAACAGGCAGCAAAAACACTGTGCGTGTGTGTGTGTGTGTGTGTGTGTGTGTGTTCGGGTATTTCAACTCGCTAACCGCGCAAGCTTTGAAGCTGAAATTTTACCAGTTTGTTCCCAAGCCAGGTTCCACCCCAGGACCGCAGTTTCAGCCCTCACGCACGTCTAGGCTCCGCGTACGAGCACGTGAAAGTTTTGGCGCGAAAATCGATAACTCG